GCAGCAGCACAGAGAGAGAGAGAGAGAGAGAGAGAGAGAGAGAGAAATTGACTACTAACCCTGAACAAAGAGCAGTACAAAAATTAAAAGTTGTTCTCACTTTCCCCATGACAACATGTTTGCTTGTGCTTCCATCAGACGTAATAGCACCACCAAGGTCCTCAATTACCTGTATTTAAAACAAATATAAAAATCAACAAAACTCAAAATAATTATATGCATTGGACGGGAAAATAATTAAATTTCATTCCAAAATATTGGACACTAAAACTGAAAAATGATTATCAGTGTAACAAGAAAAGTAAATGAAATGCATTAAAATGATCAAAAACAAAAAAGTCAGTACAGCTTCATTTGTATAACCAACAAACTCATCTTTTCTGGCACATTATATTAGTTTGGAGGATAGGAGATCTTATTCCTTTAGGAATGATCTCCAAGCCGAGCCCATGATCAGGTCATGCATAGGAACCACTGAGCAAGGAGGAAAGGATAACAGTATTGTATCACCTCTAAGATATTAATTGGTCCCTTTACTAATGTCAAAATAAAATAAATATCAACCAGGTCCCTTTCTAGAATTATAGCCTAGTCTCTATGTCCCATGAAGCACTTTCGTCATCTCGTATATTACCAAAACTTGAAAAACTAAAATACGAAAGCATGAATGCAAGATGTTCTATCAATACCAATAAATTCAGAGTGAGGATAAGATAGAGAAGAAAAATAAAATTGTACCCAATACTTTCAGGCGAAAAGACTTATATATGGGGCTGGCACGATCAACCTTGAAGCCCATTTCCTTGTAAATTTGAGCTGCAACATGATAAAAGAAAATAGTAAAATTCACTATGGGCTGGCTTAGCAGAAAGTAATGTAAATCTTGTACAAGATGTTACATAAGAGTACCTTGCATCACCTGATCTAGAAAACCATCATTGGGGCAAACAAACTCACAGCTTTGCCTCGGGGATCCTAGTGCTTCTGTAGGATTGCATAAGAGGAAGATAAAAACTAAAGCAGTTAAGCATTTGTAACCCACTCTGCCTTTTCTTCAATTCAATTGTTCAGGAATTCATATATTTCGAAGGGTAATGATTTTGGCACTCCAACTATCACCTCCCACACTCCTCTACTCTCTCACACAAGAGGACAATATGAATTTGGCACTCCTCTTTGTGTGAGAGAGTAAAGGAGTGTGGGAGGTGACATTTGGAGTGTCAAAATCATCTCCCATTTTTAAAGTCATACAAGCTTGTGAAACTAATTTTTATCTGAACTGAAGAAACAAAAGCAGCTATTTGGATTCCAAAAATATAACAGCAACATGTAGTTAAATACGAAGACTCGCGATACTTAAAACAAGCAATGATTTGTTCACACCTTCTTGTGATAAATGTTCTGTTCTCATCAGATATGCTGTAAATTGTAATGATAGCTGCACTGCAACAAACACATGCAAACAAGGGTGTAAACCCTTTAAACTTGACAATTCAGAAAACTGAAAAAGCTATCAGAATGTAAGCCTCTTCCGAATAATTTCGACATTATTAGTAGACTCTTGTTATTCTAAAACTGAAAATCATAAACTGAGAAAGCAATATGTACCTTCTCGAAACACCAGCAAAGCAATGCACCAAAACAGAACCCTTATCAATAAAATCCACACACATCCAAATAGTCCAGTACATTCTCATCGTCCATATCTCTTAGCCTCGAACCATGGGCGATTGGACTTGGGTTCGATGGCACCGGCAAGGTGTGGTTCACAAAAAATAGCAGAGAAACAATCGGATAAAGACCCCAAACGGCATCTTCCCTTCCATTGGAGCAACTGATTGCACTGAATCGCTAGTGTTTGGTGCTGGGCCAAAGGAGTTTGTGGCTGAGAAAGGTAGGGGTCAACTTGAAGCGATTGCTGAGTGGAATAACGACAGGTGGAATTAGGTTTTTCATACTGGGAAATGTTGGTTTCGGGGTTCCAATAGTATAGCACCTCAAGAATACCGTCAAACACTCCTGTCCACGGCGGGGAAGTGTAGCATCCGGAACATAGACTGGTGGAAGATACTGAGACAGCTGGAGGTGTCAAACGGACTGGGCTGGTCCGGCATGGCACAAGCAC